GATCGGTCCAAGACGCCCAATGTTGCCTTCAAATGGCCCAAGACGCCTGTCAAACGCCCCACGAGGCCACCAAGAGTCCTCCCAAGAGCACCCCCAGAGGCAAAAAGTAATGCATTTCCTGTGGTTTTCAAGGATTTGGGCGCTCTCGCATTTTCGTCTTTGAAGCCCCAACAGGGCCCAAAACGCCTCCAAGAGGGCCCCAAAACGGCCCCAGAGGGCCCAAGACAGCCCAAGAGCCTTCAAAGACCGCCCAAGAGGCCCCCAAGAGAGCTCCAAGAGCGGGCCCTGACGAGGCACCCGAACGGACAGTACAGCTTTCGGCCCCGGGAGGCCCCAAGAAGCCCCCAAGAGGCTCGCAAGAGGCCCCCCGATGCCCCCAAGAGCCAGGAGGTCCAAGAAATAGCACCACGGTGTCCCCGAGAAGCCTCCCATGAGACCCCAAGCAGCCTCCCGAACAAGCGTCTTGTCCACGATCAAGTTTGGACCCGAAACGCCCCAAGAGGCGATCGAGAGGCCTCCTCCTCCTCCTCCTCCTCCTCCTCCTCCTCCTCCTCCTCCGCCTCCGCCTCCTCCTCCTCCTCCTACTCCTCCTCCTCCTCCTCCTCCTCCTCCTCCTCCTCCTCCTCCTCCTCCTCCCCTCCTCCGCCTCCTCCTCCTCCTCCTCGTCCGCCTCTTCCCTCTCGCTCGCCACGAGCATTCCTGACGATTCTGACCCACAACGCACGCACAACGGTGGGATGGGTTCCAGGAGCTCATCAATGCGCCCAAGATGCGTATCAGATACCCAAGATGGTTTCCAAGACGGACCTGGGAGGTCACCACAGCCGCCAAGATGGCCGAAGATGCCTCCAATGCAGCCGATAATCCCCAAAGGAGCCCCAAGAGCGCTCCGAAATATCCCCCAAGAGGGACCACAGAGACAAACTTCAGTGATTTTGATTGTGTTCTTCAATGTTTTCACGCCATCGCCTTTTCGAGCATCCGAAGCTCCAAGACGGCCCCAGGGGGCCCCAAGACCGCCCCAAGATGGCCCAAGAGGCCCCAAAGAAAGTCCCAAGACATCTCGAGACGGCCCCGAAACGGCCCAAGAGGCGCACAACACAGCCCCAAAAAAAACCCAAACGGCCCCAAGACGAGACCAAGAGGGGGAACACGAACCGATGATTCGAGCCTTGCGCCCGAAAAGGCCCCCAGGAAGCCCCAAACGGCTTCCAAGGCGCGCAGTATGGGCCGGCGGAATGAGCAAAGCGATCCGCCGCCCCATCGGGTGCGGCGTGTGAGATCCCCCCGCACGGTCTGCATAACTCTTTTCCCTCATTCTTCTTACCCACGCACTCCTCATCTCGAATTCCTTTCCTCTGAGCCCTTGCCACTCCTCCTGGGGTCCTCCCCGCGGGCTGCGCATTCCGAGGGTCCGACGCTTCCGGCTGCTCAAGCGCTGCTCTGTGGCCGCCATTTTCGTCCCAAGACGGTCCTCCTTTGACATACGGGGTTTCCCGGCGCCGCCCGGGCCTCTCCAAGATGTCTCCGGGAGCCCCCTCGGCCAATTTCGGCAGCCTCTCAAGGCCCTCTGGGGCTCATCTTCACTGTCCATAGGGCCACTTTGGACCGTTCGAGAGGCCTCTACGCTCCTCTTCGAGTCACACAGACCCCAAAAACCCAACAAGCAAAACACCTCGTAAGACACAGCGGACGTTGACGATCCTGGGATTCTCGGGCTTCTCCTTGCGCCTCTCTGGGAGCTCCCGTGCATCTCTGCGAGCGCTTGCGACCATCTTCGACTCTGCGGATGCCCTCTGCCACCGTCCTGACGGCCTCTCGGAGCCCTCCTCGGCCGGCTGGGCACCTTCTTGGCGCTTTCTTGAGCCGTCTTGGGCGCACACAGAGAGTCCCTGGAGGGCGTTCTGAGGCCCCCAAACTAAGTTGTGATGTTATTTGGGGTCTGTCCGTATCCTTCTTTCGTTGCGTGCGTCGTCTTCGACCTCTTTGGGGGCTCTTCAGGGCGTATGTTGAGGCCTGTTCGACCCATTTGGGAGCCTCTTCGTGGCGTCCTCGGGCTTCTTCAGCTCTTCTTCGAGTCCGCTCCCTCCTCTTCAGAGATTCGTTCAGCTACCCTGCTCTTTCTCCACCACACCCCGACGACACGACGACAACGAAGCATTCAACGCCAACGACGCCGACGAACCCGTCAATCGCAAATATTTCAAGGGGGTCCCGAACTCCTACACTGCCCACATCCCACATGGCAGATCCTTGAACACAGCATTGTGGCCATTATAGACCGCGGGGCGTTGTACCAATTTCAACCACGACGCCCAACGCGACGACCACGAAGCGGGGCGACACCAGCAACTCCACCACAAGCACTGGAAGCAACACGAACGGCAGTTCCACCAGCAGCCTGAGGAGCCCGAACCAAAGCACAACCAGCAGCAGCACCAGTCCGCCGACGACGTCGACGACGACCTACTCAACAACAATGAAAAGGACGACCACCACGACCACGACGCCGAACACGACGACCACGACCATGACAACGACGCCGAACACGACGACCACGGAGCAATGACGAGCACCACCACGACGCCGAAGACGACAACCCCAAAGCAATTCGACCGACCACGACGCCGAACACAACGACAACAAAGCAGGACGGCACTAGCAACTCCACATTCAGCACTGGCAACAGCACGAACGCCAGTTCCACCAACATCCTCAAAGGCACGACGAACAGCACAACCAGCAGCAACACCAGCCCGAGAGACGGCAACGACGACCAATTCAACTACAATGAGAACGACGACGACAACGACCACGACGAACGCGAAGCCATTCAACCCCAACGACCCTGACGATCGCAAACACTCCAAGGTACACCGCACATCTCACAATATCCACCTCCGACATCGCAGTTCCCTCAACGGGATACTGCTGTAGCCATTTGAGTCCGCGGGGGATTGTGGCAATTTCGGCCCAGGAAGGTTTGCAGATCGAAGCTATTGCAGTCCGTGGGGATTGTGGAAATTTCGGCCCGGCCACGATTCCAGCTCGAAGCTTCAAGCTTCAACAGATACAGCCTCGCTTGGCAACTCAAACGACAATACCCAAGCAATTCAAAACACACAGCCACGACGAACGCGAGTATTCCACCAAGCACCATAGCTTTTACAACAT